GGAATATTTAGGTTGGCAGCTCTAGCATGAGCGTGTCTTAACACCATTTTATATGCTCATGTCGTGTTGAGAAGTCATGCTAGCATTAAATACAAAATTATTCAAGAAATGAAATAGAGAGGGTTAAGTCTTCCAATACCCAATCCAAGCCCACACCTTGTGAATGATTGCTAGGGTAAGCCTTAACAAACCCACCAAGGTAGGGATGGGTTCGGCTTGGAGCACATCCCCTTTAATTGATGACCTTAGGCAAGAGGCGATCACCTTTGAATTGGCTTTGGTTGGGAAGCTCTACGCATCAATTGTACAAAAATATGATGCAATATACAAGTATATATTCTCTTGCTTGGAGCGGAAGGTCATGCTTTCAAGTGTAAAGAAAAGCATAACCATTCACTCATTAATAGAAAGATCAGAGTAGGGTTTGGCTTTAGAAACTGGGCATCATTTTCTGCTTAGTTGCATCGTCTCTTCTGACATTAATCCGATGATGTCATAAAGGAACATTATGGTTTTGGATGCCCAATTTTGTATGGAATTAAAGCAACCCTGCCAATTATTTCTGACCTAATTGATCACGAAGGAATAGAAGTTGGATATCCAGATGATCTGTGAAGAACAAATCCATTAAAACTTCTAGATTCTTTTGGAGTTGGCCATTATTGTATCTCCGTTTATTGATAGGCTCATAAATACAAGAATTATATAATACACGAACACAAAGTTGGAAGTTGGAACTCCAACTGTACAGCTTCTTCGACATTAACTACCAACAGGTCAATGCTCTCACACTCAGCTAACCCCTATTTTGTTGGCTTATTCACCTTGAACTAGAAATCCCTCAAGACCATTCACCGACTAAGCTTAAAAGTTAAGAAAGGCGATTGCTGGAGATATCTGACATAAACTACCGACTTTAAGAGCCTAACTTCAGAAATAAAAGATTAACAATAATATGACCAAATACACGGGGAAGAACTTGAACTTGGATTTTTTAGCCATGACTTTCAGAGACTAATACCAGCAAAATCCTTAACAGTGAAGCCAACCTTTTCAAACTTCCCTCTTTCACTGCTCTCTCTGAACTTCAAATAATCTGAACAAACAAAGGGCTCATAGATTCTCGCATTTCCTTCTCCTACTACTTCATTTGGTGCCATGATGACCTTCTCATCCTCGAAGCACCAAAAAAAGGCAAGAGAAAGACGGTTAACTGGCTTCTTCAAAACGATTCGGTGTTCTGATGATCTTAATTTCTCATTGCTCCAAGCTTGCAACAAATCTCCTATGTTTACCACCAAGGTTTCCTCACTTGGACTTATATCCATCCATTTCCCTTCCCTGGATTTCACCTGCAGGCCACCGACTTCATCCTGGTATACGATGGTAACACAACTCATGTCTGTATGCATTCCAAGTCCCTCGACCTCATCTACCAAACCTTTCGGAGGATTGTAATTAATAATCCTCAGATAACCATGGCAATTTTTGAATTCTGACTCATAATACTTATTGTCAAAACCCTCCCCCAAACTCATCAATAAAATCTCCACGATTCTCTTCGATAATTCTGTCATCTTGGTCCCATATTCTTGTAGTGCCGCTCTGTAAGGAAGGAAAAGGAAACGAGAAAAACAAAACGCAAAAAATATGGAAACAATCAGGAAAGAACAGAAAATATAAACGCATAAAGAAAAGGAAGTTTCGATTTGTATATCACCTGAATTCAAAACTCTGTTGGCCAAAAAGGGTATCTGCGGAACTCTGGGCAGATGCAAAGAAGTTTGGTCCAAAAACTCGGAGGCACTCAAAGAAAGGAGAAGCAATGAAGTGAGGAGTGTAGGTGTTTATGGAAGAAGAGGGACCAAGTTCGAGTTTTGTCTCAGCAGGGAGGCCGAAGAGTTGCTGTGAAAGTGAATAGAGTTTTTTGTAAAGCTCCTTGGAGATGCCATGGTTGCTAATACGAAAAAATCCCCATTCTTGGCAAGCTTCAGCCAGTGAAGCCAGAGCAGACGGCTGTAGTGGCTGAGAGATATCTAGAATAGGAAGTTCTGCAGAATGGCACTCAGGCATTTTTCCTCGAACGTGGAGAGAAAATGTTTGGTTTGTCCAGTTTGATAGAGCTATATATCAATAAATGATTGGTTAGAAGAAAGAGGGAAATCATTTTCAACCTTGTTGATCAAGAGAAAATTGACAAAGAAAAGATAGAGAGAGAGAGAGAGAGAAGAGAAGGGCAATACCTAATATACATATATATATATAAACTGATGCGACTTGAAAAACTGTGCTCTTTAGAGGTGCAATTCACTTGATTTTTTTTGTTACAGAAAGTTAAGAAAATGACAAGTAGCTGATTCTTACTGATTGACCAGTATAAGAAATTAAGCTTTAATCAACCAAAATGATGTTTGAATCAAAGGCTACCACAAAAGGTTTCACTACGTATGAACAAAGAGATGATAATGGTTGCTAAGTATTATTTTTTTTCAAGTGAAGAAATGAATGGAGGCTCAAAACCAATGACAGACTGTTAGAGAGGTGCCCAGAACACAAGGGATGATTTTCTTATACCGTGTTTTTGCATGGGTTCTAGAGCTTAAAATTATTGGTCAGAAAGCCTACCAGCACATCTGCTTGTTCATTAAGCTTGCGGAGTCTAGGGCTTATAAAACTAATAAATATCGGTCAAGACAAAAACGTGATTTTGTTGCCACCACTAACCCTAATATTCTTCTCCATCCCGAAATCTGTCTGCATACGGTTGAGTGTGTCGCGGGTTCCGATCCAGGCAAGCCGGGTCTTTGCAAGAAACGGGATGCAATTACAGGGGATGATAATGAATTGAAGTGCGGCTTGAGTTACCAAATCTTGTACTCCGCTGGAAGCAATTCATTGACAATTAACATAATGTTCTGGAAGATACACTAAAGAAATAAGACGGATTAAACTATACATGCGATTCATGCCTGCCCACCAAGTTACATCACAAAACACAAATTAATAATTAAACAAGTATCACGCCTTACCAAAGAGTGATTAAATTAAATAGAAATTCTAGAAGAGGAAAGGGATATATCAAATAATTACATGAGCTGATGAAATAAGAAACACTGATCAAAGAATTACATGATGATTGAATAGACATTATTATTATTATTATTATTTATAAAATATAATGCTCAAGTGCCACACACATGTTTTGATAAAGAAAAACAAACTCGTCAATCGGATCATAGATGTAACTTGTAGCATATAGATAATTGTTTTTTTTTAAGTGATCATGATAGCCTAGTAAAAAATATTTTTTTAAAAAATAAAATAAATTATGAAATTTAATTCTCAACCCATCAATATTGGAGGATGAAATGTGCTAAAAAATGACCTAAAAAATTAAACTTGTCAACTCTAGTTAGTATGAAAAACTTGTAACCTCGGTAATCAGGGTCGAGTCAACCTGTAAGTTATACCATCAAATATATAACTCAAGTCATATGTTTGGAATAATTCGATAGAAAAAATAAAAAAAAATCATAAAGTTAATTAAAAAAACAATTTTAACTCGTATTAACTTAGATCATTATATTTGAAACACCTTATATAAAAAAACCATGAAACTCAATTCTCATTCAATTTAATGTTAAATGATGAAATTGAAAAAAAAAATTCAATTGTACAAAAGGATTCAAAATACAACATCACAATTAAAAGAATGATGATTGAAATTGAAATACAAAATAAATTTTATTTTTTATTAAATAGTGAAATCAGTGTTTGGTAACGTGGTTGAACTATGTTTCTAAAAAATTAAAAAAAAATTGCTTAATTTTTTTAATAATTTCATATCATTTTGATGCGTTGATGTCAAAGATAATTTTAAAAAATAAAAAATATATACATTATTTTGATGCATTTCTAAACAAAAAACATTATCATACTCCCAAACACCCCCAAAATTAAAAATAAAAATCAATTTGACCAAAAAAATCTAAAAAAAATTAAATAAATGATGATCAAATTGGAAATAATAATATATCATAAATTGGGATTGAATGATAAAATTAAAAACAAATTAAAATTTTATAAAATTTCCAAGAATTAAAAAAAAAAAGAACTCGAGAGGAAATTTCAATAAATGAAAGGAGAACTCTGAAATTTTGCATAACCAATGCAAATATCACAAGGAAACAAAAAAGAAAAAAAATTCATTGGTGATAAATTATGTCATCAATGACAACACATATTGCTTTTAAAAAAATGACTTTATCACAAAATTTTCAATAACACAATAGAAAGAGGATTTTGGCCCAAACATGTTTTCGAAGATCGCGAGCGCCTCTCACGTGGAAACCACTTTATATATATATAGTTTTTTTTTATCTAACTTGATAATAGTAATAAAAAATATTGTAAATTTATAAATAAAATCCTTGAATGCCAGTATTAAATTTTTTCTTTCAACAGCATTTTGATTATTGCATTGTGTTTTCTAATTATAAAAAAATTTATTTATTTTTTATTAATTTAATAATAGCTAATATATCTTATGAAAAGTTTTTGATGTACTAGTAGATTTTAATTTACTAATACTTTTAGGTGTACAAATGCATCTTTATCTATAGTGTTTTTCTATGTTTTGTTAAATTGACTGTGTTCCTTAAATCTATCCGTTAATATTTATTTATTTTTTTGAAATGATTATTTATGATTTCAGCGCTTGTTAAAAATGACTCGGATGTGATTCGTTATTCAACAGGGGGGAAGAAAGATTTTCAAGAAAAAGTACTAATTACCAACCGTCATGAGCAGTGATAGGTTCTAGTTCTAGGGCACAGAAATCCATTGAGGCAGTGGCCCAGTGAACTCAAGGCCCAGATTCAAAACTCACTCGCTCCTTCCTCTTTCCTTCTTTTCATTTCAAAACGACGTCATTCTTCCTCTTATAAATATATTACCATCTCATCTCTCTAACAAATCACTTCTTTTTTAACTACAGAGAAATAACCCCCACCACCACCCCCTTCGCCCCCCCCTTCAAACAAAAAGCAAACTTGTCTTATCCACACTCTCCATAACGATTTCACATTTCATGTCACGTTAAGTTGGCTTGAAGCTTTGCGTGCTAACTTTCCAGTAACGCACACAAACCGTTCGATAAAATCACCAAGCCAAACCATCTCCTGAATAACTCTATAATTTCTTGCTATTTCACTCTCACGCTTAAAGAATACCATTATTACGCATAACCAATTGATTTTTACGAAAATTTACCATCATGAACATGTAAGATTTCCCCTTTTTTAGGAAAACAAAAGGCCTGAAAGGGATTGTGTTATTCAAAACGATGCTTTTGAGCGACCAGAGGCCAAATTATTGGCTTTAGTTAGTGTGATTGGTGTTTTTTGTTCATTTAATTGTCAAAATTAAAAGAATTTTCTCGTGTATTTCTTGTTAAATGTGGTTTCGAGCTTGAAGTTCAGGTCTTGACTGTTTTGCTTGTTTTTTTTTTTTATTATTTTTATAAGAGGGATTCTTGTATATTATTTGATCAAGTAGAACAGAAATATGATGTTGTGTTGTGGAGTGCTATGGCTTCGAGTTTTGTCAAGAATGGGAAGTATAAGGATGGTATTTATTTGTTTAGGAGAAATGCAGAGTTAAAGTTTGTAGGCTACTGGTGCTTGAGATGATCTTAGTGAGTTGTTGAGGAAAAGAGATTCGTAGGTTGTTGATATAGAATGTCTTTCTCAAATGTACGATATGTTCATTGTGTATGCAAAATGTGGGGAATTGGAGGGCTGGATTTGGGTTTTTATGGGAGGTTGGAAGAAGGATTTGATTTCTTGGAAGACAGTAGATTCTTGGCTGTGCTGAGAATGAGTTTTGAGACAGTAGATTTGGGTTTTTATGGGAGGTTGGAAGAAGGATTTGATTTCTTGGAAGACGGTAGATTCTTGGCTGTGCTGAGAATGAGTTTTGAGAATGGAAGTTCACCAATTAAGGGATATGGGTTAGATTGATGAGGACTTGAGGGCCTTGAAGCATGTTGGATTGTGGGGTAAAGCTCAATGATGTTGTTTCTCTCTCTTTTCAATCTGCCCTTCGTCCATGTGGGCTAGAATGTAAGGGTCATGACTTGTTTATTTCATTTAAGAAAAATTATGGTCGTACTCCAAAACTTGCACATTATGCTTGCATGATGGATCTGCTAATTTGGCAAGGAAATGTTGAGGAAGCTCTTGAATTTGAAACAAAATGCCAGTGGAGCCTTTAAAAGAATCTGGGATCTCCTCTTGCCATTTGTAGATCTAGAAGTTGTGGTTCAATGTTGTGGCAGAATTTGTGGGAAAATGGCTTAGTGCCTTGGACCCGGAAAATACCATTTATCCTGAGATTTTGTTAGACTTGTATGCGAAGGAGGTAGATGGGACTATGCGGTGAGGCTCAAAATGTTGGCAGATGGCAAAAGATTAATGTAGAGAGCAGAATGCAGATAAATGATTGTCCACACAAGAATTTCCAATTCATTAATATCAACAGGTAATTGGTCAGTTGATTTCATGTTTCTTCCCTATTCATTACATGGTTCATAATTTCTAAGGATGAGAGTTAAATGGCTTTTTCTTATACACCCTGATTGTATAATTTATGCTGCTCGGATGCTGATATTAAAATGATGGTCATGAATTTTGGAATTTTACAATCTTGGACTGTTTCTTCATTTGTCTCGATCATGAGAATTTTGAAATGGTCATTGAGTTGTGTATTTCTGTTGAGTGAATTTTCAGTAATCAGTTCAGAAAGGAGGTATACTGTAAATGTAAGGGAGAGTTAATTAATTAGAAGGTACTTGATGATCCACTTGAGTAGGTGACCATTGAAAAGGGTTCTAATTATAATGGTTTCAGTCTTCACATGGAACAAAACCTAAAAATCTACGTATTACTTATCATGCAATATATAACTTTGGTCAATCAGTATGCATTCAAACTATGAAGTTAATTAAACTGTAGGTCGGGTAAGAAGACCTCTGGAAGCTCTATGTTAGACCACACTAGGCATATGATTTAAAACATAAAATTTGAAATATGCTAGGCCACAGTTTCACTCTGCTCTGGAACTACAAAATGTTGTTCATCATAACAGTCATCAGGTAACAATTTATGAAACTCAAGATTTGATTTCATTGCTTCGTAGCCCAATAATTTAGGGATTCATTTAAAACAGCTTTAGCTACTTATTTTGTTTTAACTCCTTTGACAACTCAAAGTGCTATTTATTTAAACTTCTTTTTCCTCCTTTTAATCTTGACCGTGAATACTTGTGTAAGTCGTAAAGTAAATGAAACTTTTGTTCTGAGGAATAATAGATAAGATTGACAGCAGAAACTATGGAAGGGTGGTTTTTTCTACCCTAAAAGTAATTGCAATGAGGAATTTCATCTAATAATACTCTCATAGGTGTAGTGTAGAGACTTGATTTCTCAATCCACTAACCAGTTTGTCTTCTTGTGATTTTATTTTGCTGTTGTTTTTAATTTATGTTTCGTTTGTGATTTAGAATTTACCTATGAAGCATAATAAAAGAGGGGATTAGTAGAGGAACAAAGGAGAGATTAAGGATTGGACTCCAATTCATTGCTAATGTAAGCAAACATTTTTAAGTGACATCCATCAATTTCTTGCGCATCAGTGGATTAGCTCACTGATCTTACATAAAATCACCATCTTTGGCAGAAAGAAGTACTCCCAGAGAGGACTTTCCATTGTAAATCTCTGGAAATTTTCATGGTGGAGGTTCTGGCTTTATCATATTCAGAGAAATACTAAAAATAATACAGGAAGATTAGAAGTATATTAATTTGATCATAATCTTGAATCATAGTCCAAGGAAAAGCTTCCTCACGAAATCAAGATGGATTGAGCCCGTGGGAATTGGATCATATTTCGGTTATCAATGGGGAAAATGTTTCCGTCCAGGAAATCTGTTCAGAACTCATCAGAATATGTTCCTCATTGTAGTTTTCATATTATAAGTTATAATAAAAAAAGCTAAAACATGTGGGAAAAGCATGTTGTCTTTTTCACAAAACTCAATTGCTTGTTGTAGTGTTTTTACACAAATTTTTTTAACACATGATTTTCTTTTTTTTTTCCTTTTTTTATGATTGTTTTTAAAAAATTCTTATCAATTTTATTTTTTAATATATAAATAGTTGAGAATTTAATTTTATATTGATTTATAAGTTGAGCAACATCAGGTTCTCTCCCCGTGTTATATGTATGGTCAACTTAGAAGCTTCTGAATGGTCGTTTCTGTAAGAGTACTTTCTTTTAGTGAATATGGGCAACGGGTCTGAAAATTGTAGCCTGCATCTGTTCATTGAGTCCTTGGTTGGTCAATTTTGCTTGGGAATACTTTTTTTTTTTTTCTGGCAATTTTGAATGGAAAGGTAGACTTGTTGTGTTGCACGTAAAAGTATGTTCATGCATTTGCTTAATAAAGAAATATTTGACCTGATAATCTGGAGATTTTGTTTCTTTGCCAACCCTATGGAACAGGGAACACATTTGCAAAATGGGATGCACGTCTGTCTCAGGAGTCACGACCCATTCGAGAAATTCTGTGTTTCATAAAAAAATGTTATCAGGAAATGGATTTCTTTTCAAATTGGTACAAGTTTTTCTTCAGACCGATGGCGAGAGTTCATCAATTATATACCAAGGATAATGTATTCCACATGTCTTCCAAGCTAACCTCCGACCGAGCTAACAACTATTTCTTATTAAATTCTAACGTAGACAACTAAGGGTTGCATGTTCATTCTTTCCTTCTCTTTTCTTTTTCCTTTTCCCTTTCTTGTAGGGAATAAAGTTGAGCTGTAATGATATAGATGTTTAAGAATGAGGTTATTTGGTTTTTATACAGTAGTTAATCACATATACATGTTAATATTTCATTTTTCATAGCCTAGAAAGTGAAAGTCCTGACGTCTACAATTAATGGTAAAAGTCCTCACATTTACAAAACAATTTTTTTTAATGAGGTTTAAAGATTTCCATATGACAAATAAATGACTTTTAAATAAAGAATTATATTAAATAAAAAAAAAAGCTTTAAATTTCAAAAACAAGGATGTGTGTTTTTGTTTTTGTGTGATAAATATTAGAGAGTAACATAAAATTATTCTTGAAATTAAATCTAATAGTTAAAATTATTGGGCTCAAATCTAAACTTTTTTAATTAAGTGAGGAGATTAAAAAATTATTTTTTTTGAAGTGTTTTGAATCTAATAATTTGTGGGATTCACTTGTTGGTGGATTACCACCTTGTTATTGAATTTTTTAGACAAGATTTTAGGTTTTTTCAGTTGGTGTAAAAAAAACCTGATTATGAAGTTGTATTTGGACACCTAAATAAGGGGTTCGTAGCCATTTTAAAAGTGTTGTCAAGTTTCATTTCCAATTCGACAATCTGGTACTGCCCGCTCGGAGAGATACAGGGTCTTCGATGTCGTAGATTTAAGCGAACAAAAGAGAACGTTCATTAAACAAATGGAGAGTATGATTTAGAGGTCGTATAGTAAAAGGCTTTCAACTTTGAGGGATCTCAAGTAGGCAAAAAACGAGGGGGGAAACATGGATTTTTTAGAAACTCTTGCCGGTATCTCATGGCTTCTGGTTCACATGGCAGATTTATGAGCCAAATTTATGAATGAACAAGTTGTCTTTCTTCTTCTGTTTTTTCTTCCCTTTTGAATTATAGATCAGACGGTCTTAATCGCTTTCCAAAAAAGAAAAGGAAAAAAAAATGGTCTTAATTGACCAATTATGTCCCTAAAATTGTTTTATAACCCTTAAGGTGATTCGAATCAACATTCATCCTGGCATTTCCTGCAATTCAAGATGGTAGACTTGCCATTAAAATAACTCAAAATGATTCGTTGAATTCTCTTATACAACATTTATTATTCACCATGTATTCAGCACCATATAATAACGCATCGGATACCCATAAATATCCATGTCCACCGTATAAATCTTCATCTCATATCAAGAAACACAACAATCCAACTGTTGAAGTTTTTTTTTTTTCTCCTGATCTCTTAAGATCACAGATGTATGAGTGCTTGTCTAGCGTAAGTGTACCTTTTGGAAAGAAAAGGCTACAAGAAATAAAGAAGAGAAGAAGCCTAGGAAGTAAGGAAGTGTCCCAGACGGTACTCATCAATATTCAGCTTACTAGCTAGCAAGTGTCATCAGCTATAACAAAATTCAAATTTTCCTTGTTAAAGGTAAGTTCAAAGGAAAGGAGTTGTTATTAGACCGTTGCTTTTTGTAATATACCGTTGTCTTTCGATTTTCAAATTTCTGTTGGTTCATTTCTAAAAGATGGAATTTATCAAAGACTGGCTTCTGTTACAAGTTTTGCAGAAAACCCAATGCATGATTACGTATCCTGGTAGCAATAACGACTCATGATCAAGCCCTTTTGCTTTTTGTAGCCAGAAAGGAGAACGCTTCTTTTTATTTCTCTGCTCTTTTGTTTCTTTTCTTTGTAATCTTTTCTTCTTCTTCTCTCAATCATAAATTCTGAATTTTAAGCCAAATCCCGGGTGAAAGTATCAGATTCGAGTATTCCTCGATTCCCATCTGTGGATTGTGTTTGCCAATGATCAAAAGAAGTTTCCCAAGTCCACTAACCAAAGTTCTTGACACTTTCATGGTTATCTTGCAGATTTCTGAGCAATTACTCCACAAGTACTAGTCTTTAAATGGATAATTCATCGAATTTTGACGAAATTTCTGAGCCCAGTTATCAACCCTCACCTTCTTCTTTGGATCAAAATGATCAATCAACCGTGGAAACTCCAGTGTACTCAACAATGAGTGGTGATTCTTTCATGTTTGGTCGGACTTATTCAGAGACCTCAGCCTTTTCTGATCCAATAGATGATAACAGCTATTCAAGTGAACCTTCTCCTTCTCATTGGCCAGTAACCAAATCTGGAGCACAACATCAGGCTGTGCTTAGAAGACTAGAAATGAAGCAACAGAAGCAAGTTGTGGATGACAAGTTGGATGATCAAGAACCAGTTGACTTAGGTGGGGTTATGTATGATAGTTTATCTTTTTGCTGAAAAATCTGTCCATGTAATGAACAAGACGGTAACAATTTTTTGCTTAATTATGGCAGAACTGGAGACGATGAAAGAAAGATTCTCAAAGCTCTTGCTTGGCGAAGACATGTCAGGAAGTGGCAAAGGTGTCTGCACAGCTGTTACTATATCAAATGCCATAACCAATCTCTATGGTATGTATGACATCACCTTGATTTATTAAATTATATGGTTCTTTCTTTCATCCAGTTCTCCATCATTGCTTATCTTTGATGCTTCCTGCAGCAACTGTGTTTGGGCAAAATTTGAGATTAGAGCCACTGAAACCTGAGAAGAAATCGATGTGGAAGAGAGAAATGGATTGCCTTCTTTCCGTATGTGATTACATAGTAGAATTTACCCCCAAGTCTCAGAATTTACGAGATGGGACAGCTCTTGAGGTGAAGTTTCGTTAACTATAACCCAAATTTCAAAGGACTTTGTCCTCGCTTATCTCTAACATGATTGATTTGTCTTTCAGGTGATGGAAAGTAGAACAAGATCAGATATTTACATCAACCTTCCGGCATTAACAAAGCTAGACGCGATGCTCATAGTATGAAAAGCTTTCTTTTGCAAGGGATTAGAACAAACTCTGTTTTCATTTCAGTGTCGTATATTCATTATAACTTGGATTTTACTTGACAGGAAGTACTGGATAGTTTCCAAGATAGAGAATTTTGGTATGCAGAACAAGGAAGCATGTCATCGAATTCAACTAGTTCGGGCTCATTTCGCAGAGTTGTTATTCAGCGCAAAGAGGAGAAGTGGTGGGTGCCAGTCCCATGCGTCCCACCAGATGGCCTCTCTGAGAAGTCGAGGAAGCACTTGCGACACAAACGTGACTGTGCATATCAAATTCACAAAGCTGCCATGGCCATTAACAGTAGCATTCTTACTGAGATGGAAATTCCACACTCTTACATGGCATCTCTTCCAAAGGTTAGCCTTCTTGCTAATCAAATAACTTCACAAAAATGTAATGAATCTAGATTTCGAGGTCTCAGAGTGAAGATGACTAGCTTCCATTTTCTGAAAAAGCACTATGAAATTATCTCATTCATTTAGGCTTTAATGAATAGCGAAGACATGTTCCAGTATTGACAGTACGTTATACCAAAATGTTTTTATTTCAGAGTGGAAGAGCGAGTCTGGGGGACACGATTTACCGTTACCTGTGTACAGCAGACGGATTCTCCCCAGACCATCTCCTTGACTGTCTCAACTTAGCATCAGAACATGAAGCACTTGAGCTTGCAGACCGAGTCGAAGCTTCAATGTACACATGGAGACGCAAAGCATGCCTAAGCCACTCAAAATCCTCATGGGACATGGTAAAAGATCTCATGTCTGACGTTGACCGAACTGATAAAAATCATGTTCTAGCGGAAAGAGCCGAGACCTTGCTATTTTGCTTGAAGCAGAGATACCCTGAACTTTCACAAACATCCTTGGACACTTGCAAAATCCAGTACAATCGGGTAAGTTGAGTAATCATTAATCTCACTGCACAATATCAAGTTTATTATTTTTTTATACAGAATTAAATGGGAAGATAAATATTGCAGGATGTGGGACAAGCAACACTCGAGAGCTACTCAAGAGTTCTAGAAGGGTTAGCATTCAACATTGTTGCTTGGATCGAAGATGTTCTTTTCGTGGACAAGTCAGTGAGAACCCAAGATCAATAGAAACCGCATGAGTTTCAAACATTAGTGAAATATAAGATATCTTAATCAAGGAACTCTATCCCAGATGATTGTCCAA